GCAGGACCAGCCCTGAACGAGGTGTCAAACTAAATGGCAAGGTTCCATCCTCAGAAGTTGGGACAGAGGGCTGGGGGGGGGTGGGTAAGCACCTGGAACTCCTCAGTGGCAACTCCTGCCTTCCAGAGCCAGGAAGGTGAGGGCCCACCTCAGGGCCTTAGAGCCCCTGACAACGGCGTGAAGTAGCCCTGACCCTATCCTGCTTGATCACACCAGGGGAGGGAGGCTCAGGAAAGCAGGGCATTACTGAGGCGCCTCCAATCCGGGACTTGGAGACCGGAGAGGGACAGGCCTGGCTTGCTGCTATCCTTGCCGCAGAGGTGTCCTGGCTGGCAGCTGGGGTGGGGCTGGGAGAGGAGGGAGGAGGGTAGAGAGGGGGACTGCCCAGCTGGAAGAGGCCTTGTCTAATTGTGCCTGATTAGTAGAGAGGAAGAGAACAGGGCGAGTGATTAATAGTCACGGCAGTCACCAGCATGTGGGGAAGGGGGGGCTGGGGCGGGGAGGGAAATCTGAGCTCCCAGAGAGAATGGAGACAGTGACGTGTGTGCCCTCAGCTCCCCGGCCACCTGTCCCTCTAGGGGCTGCCTGGACCCCTGATGTCCCCACAGAGCGGAGCTGGGTCCTACTCCTGCCTCCTCCTCAGGGTCCCCCTACCTCTCTCATGCCTCTATTTCCCAGACAACAGGATGGAAGAGAAAAGACCAAGGTCATAGCCTGTACCTGGAAAATAAAGGTGTATCTGCCCAGGTAGCATTTCGGCAGACCTCAGCGTCCACAGACACAGGGCGTCCCCTGGGCTCAGCCCTCGCCCACGCCCAGAGAGCAGAGACCAGACTTCTGCCCAGCCCAAAGCCTCTACTTTACATCCCCTATCCCAGGCGCCATTCCCTGCCTGCCCCAGGCGGTCCCCACCTGGTTCCCAGGACCTTCTAGAGTTGCGCTCCTGAAAAGGAAGGCACACATCACAAGCAGCTATTTGAATTGAAATTCATTTTCTCTGTCATGCTAGTCATATTTCAGAGACTCAATAGCCAGCGTGGCTAGTGACCATCTACCATCACAGAATGTGGTGTTGGCCCCCCCCCAACCTCCCCAGCCCCCCAGGGTGTGCCTGTACCCCTGCACTCCAGCAAGGATATCTGCGAGGACTGGAGAGCTCAGGGTAGTCAGGGCAGCCACCAGCAGGTGCGGAGACAGGAGGGAAAATCTGAGCTCCCAGAGAGAATGGAGATAGTGACGCCCGGAGCCCTCAGCTCCCTGGTCACCTGTCCCTCTAGGGGCTGCCTGGACCCCTGATGTCCAGTGGAGAGGAGAGGGAGGGTCAAGGTTCTGGAGAAGGGGGATGCGGTGTATGGGTGGTAAACAGCTGGGTGGTGGAGCTGGTCTGGCTGAGAGTAGCTGGCGTCTATACAGCTGATGCCTCCAGAATCTCTGCTATGTGTACACTGGCAGCGTCTTAAGTAAGCGCTCTGCAGGCATCTCTCTCATCCTCCAAGCATCTGAACTTTTTAGCTTCCACTCTTTCATTTAATGACTAATAAATGCAATGCTCAAGGAAGCTTTCTGGCTTCTCCAAGGCCTCACAGCTCAAGGGGGACAGCCCAGGTTCAAATCCAGAACCCCCACACTGAACCGCTCCGCCATCCAGTGTCCAGCTCAGAAGAGGTGCTGAATTTGGGAGCCACGCCTGCGTTTTACAGCTGAAGGAACGAAGCCTAGGGAGAGCGAGCTCTGCCTTCTCGTAAGTGGGCAGGCTGCGAGGAAGCCACACTGGGGAAAAGCATAAGTGGCAGAAGGCGAGGAACACTGGGGTGAATGGGGTGGGGAGTAGATGGTGGAGGAACTGGGGAAGGAGAGCAGAAGCACAGCGCTGGTGGTGGGAATGGGCTGGATGAGACAGAATGAAGCGGGAAGGGAAAGAGAAGAGCTGGGGTGAGTTAGTGGGGAGGGGGAGAACCCCCACCTCCACCCAGAAACCTGTGCCTCTCTCTCTTCCCTTCCCTCCTCTGCAAACCTCACCCAGCCAGCTTCATCCCTCCAACCTCCCAGCCACTTCAGCCCCAACTGGCCTCGCCTCTTGCCACCCATGCATGGGTCCTGAGTCCTCTGCGGCTGCCTGCATGGCTGGTTAACTCTCGCACAGTTGGTGAAGCTCCCGAGGGCCCCGTCCCTGCTCCTCCACACGACTGTAGGCTGCTTGAGGACAGGTGCCAGGGACTCGGCTGCCCTGCATCCCCTCCAGGGCACCCGGCGGGCTCCACGGGCACCCAGTAGGCACTCAGACTCCAGGCCGGCCGGGAGCCAGTGAGGGGTATTTGGAGCGTGGGGGTGAGAGCGACGACCGCGGTAACAGAAGCAAGAGCAGCAGCTTAGGGTACTGGAGGAGGGCGCATTACCCGGAGTAAAAATAGGCTGGAAAATGTGACATTTATTAACTTGGATTCCGGAGGAAAGGTCACAGGAGAGTGGGGAGTGGGGAGGAGGAAACAGGGAAAGCAACAGAAAACACATACCAGCCCCTTACCCAAAGCCTGTCCTCGGCACGGGCCATGCTGCCACCCTCGGCCCCTGTCCCCACCCCCACCACAGGCCCCAAACCCCCACTGGGGGCTCCGTATTACCACACAGTCCACTACAGACCTCCTGTCCTCATGGGAGAACCGGTGTCTGTCTCCACGGCCCTTGTCCATTCTTGCCTGCACAACATACCCGGTCTTCTCCATTACCAGGGAGCACAGGCCCCCAGCCCAGCCCAGCCCAGAATCCCAGCCCCTTGGGCATCTGCAGCAGATTCAGCCCTGGGGTGCCAGGACCAAGGGAAAGCAACACTCAGCAGATGGAGGGTGTGGGCTGTTGGGGCCAAGGAAAGCAGGATCCAGGTGGGGGTTCCAGACCCCCAATGCTAGCTGCGCCCCTCCTCCCCTCTCGCTCCTGCAGAACTGAGCCCCACAAACTTCAACAGTCCTCTCTCAGGTACCCAACGGGCCTGTGGGAAGTCCACCGTCCTGCCCACCCAGCCATGCTCCGGAGTCGCAGGGACTCACCAGCCTTGGTCAGGGACTTCCTGTTCCTGTCTCCCGGCAGGCAGCTCTGCCTTTCCTGAGGCCAGGTGGGAAACCCCTGCTTCCCTCCCCTTCTTTCCTCTGCTCCCCTCCCTCTCTTCTTCCCTTCCCTTCCCACCCCCCCGCCCGAGCCTAACATACCAATTCCCGCTCACTGGCTCCGAGACACAAAGCCCCCATTGATTCCCACCGCAACAGCACCTGCTAAGACTGGGCTCTGTCCCCCCATCCCAGAGGGGCGAGGCTGTCAGATGAGAGCGCCATGGACGTGAAGGCCACATCCATTCTCCACCCCACCTCCTCTTTGGGAACTCTCCCAGCCTGGTTTTGGGAGCAATGATTTTTCTTAAAAGAGGGGGTTGTATAGGCAGGTGACAGTCCAGTGACCCCCAACTCCTCTCCCAGCACAATCCTCTCCCGCTTGGCCCTTCCACCATGTCTACCCAACTCCCCACCCCCAAGCAGGAGGTCCCAGAGGCTGCAGGCTTGATGGGGGCCAGCAACCTGGTTGGAGCAGGCTTCTGGGTGATACTGAGACAGTGAATGAAAGAATGTGGCGGCGGGGGCGGGGGGGCCAGCTGGCCATGAGTGGGGAAGGCCCCCCACCTCTGGGGCTGGCCGCTGGAGGCTGGGCTGGATCGGGCACCGTGTCAAAGCCATATATTTATACTTGCACCAGGCAGTGGTAACAGGGATGAGAACACACACGTACATAAGGCTGAGAGTAAAGTGTGGCTGGGGGCAGACGTCTCCAGCACCGGGAATAATGGCGAGCCTGTGCCTAGGGGAGAAGGGAGCACTGGCAGACACGCAGCCGCACACTCCACGCACACACCTGACGCTGGAGAGGTGCACGGAGGCAGCCCAAGCTGACGCTCCACTCCAGTGATAGTATGTGTGTGCGTTCACACGTACGTGAGCCATGTCGCCGGCCGTCCCTGCGTGGGGCGTAGGGTTGAGATAGCTGGGGGGTTACGGGAGGGGATGGCAGCCACAGCGGGACCCTGTCCCTGGCAGCTGAGTCAGAGCTGGGAGGTGGGCACCGGCGAGTAGCTCCCAGGGTGTGTGGGTGTGCAGGTATGCACGTGAGTGTCGTGACAGGGACGCTGCATGTGTGTGAGAGAGCCCGGGTGTGCGGGAAACTGTCCCCGAGCAGTCGGGGTGTGTGTGGGTGCGTGTGCGTGCAGCGCTGAGGGTCAGCCCTGCACGGGAGAGTGAATGAGTGATTCTCAGCGCAAGAGAGAGCCGGAGCAGCCTGGCCGGAGCAGCAAGGACGGGATGGAGGGAGGGAGGGAGGGACTGGAGAGGGAAGCCAGAGGGGCGGCATGAAAGAGGGATGTGTGAGGGAGTCTGTGAAAGGGGGTGTGTGTGAGAGAGACACAGACAGAGAAGGGACACTGGCACCCAGTGTCCACGAAGACCATCTCTACCCAGCCGGCTGGTCGGGCCAGCTCCCCCAGAGTAGCCCTGGCTGGATCCCCCAAGTACCCTCTCCCCGTCACTCTTATTTGATGGGGACAAGAATCTAGTAGCCACAGAAGAAAAGGGGGACAAGAGGAAAGTGGGGGCCAGTTGACCTGACCCTGGCATGGTGCATCCCTTCCCTCCAGGACCCCCCGGCCCGCCAGGACCCCCTGGCCCGCTCCAGGACCCCGGCCCCCAGCCCTGAGCTCTGCAGCAGCAGCAGCAGCAGCAGCAGCAGCAGCACTAGGAGGAGCAGCAGCAGCCACGCCGGGGTAAGCCCCTGTGAGCGTCCCTGCTCCTCGGCTGGGGAGCCAGAGGGAAACACCAGGCTCGGGGGAGACACCAGGCCAGCCTCTGGTGGCAGAAGGAGGGGAAGCCCTGTCCTCCAGGACACCCCCAAGCACGAGCCCCCGCCCCCGCCCGCCCGCCCGCCCCTGGCCGCCCGGGCCAGGTGGGCCAGCTGGCAGGACTCACCACGGAGAAGTTGCTGGCGGAGCAGCGGTGCCCACTGAAGTTGCAGCTCTTGAGCATGTCGGCAAGCTGGTGGCCAGTGCGGTTGAGGATGTCCACCATGTCGGGCTCCGGGTAGCGCAGGCCGGCCGCGCGGTGCCCGTCCCGGTCTTTGGGGGGCAGCCCGGTCAGATTGGCCAGGTGGAAGATGTCGGCGTCGCTGAGTGCCGAATGCCGGAAGCGGTTGATGTTGCAGAGGGTGACAGCGGGGAAGCCCGCCACTGGCGCGGGGCCGGCGGGGTCCATGGTCACCAGGTGAGGCCGGGTCAGGTAGCCCCGGGCCAGGCCAGCCGCCTGGTACAGGAAGGCAGCCAGCGAGGCGAGTAGGGCCAGCGCCCACAGGGTTCTGCGCAGTCCGTGGGGGCCTGGGCCACAGGCCCGGCCCAGCCCGTGCAGGGTGCTGGTGCTGGCGAAGGTGGCCAGGTCCCGGGGGGCTGTTGCCCCCTGCGCAGCCCCCAGGAGGCTCTGTTCATCCCCGGCCTCCTTCTCCTTGGGTTTCGCATCCTCCTCTGCAAATTTGATTTTGCACACAATCTCGATCGGCATCTGTCCCCGGCTGCTGGGACTGGCCAGAGCCTCCCTGCCCCTGTCCCTCCCTGGCCAGCAGCCCTCGGTGCCCTCTGGAGTGGCGGCGGTGGCAGCGGCTGCTCCTCTAAACTCAGGGCAAGCGGGTGGAGGACAGGGACGGGGTGGGGGCCCGGGGTGGGGGCGTCACTCCCACTCCCAGCAGCTCTCAGCCCTGGTGCTGCCGCTGCTGCCGCCGCTGCCGCCGCTTGTCTCTCTCCGATCGTCTCCTTGTGGCTTCCCTTATCAGCACCAGCACAGCTGTCAGCCCCTGCGTGTGTCCCTGCGAGCGAGCGAGCGAGTGAGCAAGGGAGCGAGCGCTGCTCCTCCACGCCGTGCAGCCCCAGCCGCTCGCAGCATGTGCTCAGGAGCCCACCCCGCGCTTAATAATTCAGGACGTGTCAACAGCGTTTCACCGGCGGCCGGCGGGCGGCAGGAGCCAGGCCGGGGAGGCGCAGCCCCCCCCCACCCCCAGCCTTGGACAGGAGTCCCCCGGCTCTGCCCGAGACCCTGTCGGGTGGCCTCCCAAACTCTTCCTACACTCTCGCCGCCACTCGTGGGTGCCCAGCTGGCCCCGCTCCCTGGCCACCCCGGGAAGAGGAGGGCACCCAGAGCCCCCAGACACTTTTCTGGACCTCACCCCCAGAAGGGTCAGTCAGCTCTGTCCCCCACCTCCCGGCCTGCCTGCCTCCCAGAGTCCAGCACCCCGGTCACCGTCTGACCCCACTGCCCCACTCACAGCAGCTTCCAGAAACTCCGTGGGAGAGACACTTGTTTGAGTGAGGGAGGGGAGGGCGGGGGAGGGCAGGCACCACAGGCCAGGGGCCAGGGGGCCGCCACCAGGATCCCTGGCCTTCCTAGAGCTCTGCTCCCAACTTGAACCCCATCGTACGCCAGCCCCCGCTGGGACACTGGCCCCCCACTTTGCTCCCACCCCAAACTCAGCGCCCGTGCATCTGGGGCTGGGCATCCTGGCTGGCACTGCTGTGGTCACTTTGCTCTTCATCGTTTCCCAAACCCATGGTCACAGCCAGGCAGGGGTGGGGGTGAGCGAGCGCTGGGTAAACAGTGCAGGGAACAGAGAGGTGTCAGAGGGGCGACCCCAAGAGAAGGTGAGGTGTGGAGTGCAGGGCCGGGAGGAGTCCAAGTGGCAGAGCTGGGGGAGTCCAGTGTGCTGGCCTTCACCAGGGAGGGGTGCGGCCCAAGGAAATCGAGGCAGGGGTTCCCAGCGAAGTGGGTGGGGAGTCGTGGGGTGGCTGCTGTCCCCAAGGAGTAGCAGGCTGTAGGCCATGATCACAGGCAGGGGGGAGGTACCTGGAGCTGGTTTGGCATCCCCGGGGGTGGGGGTGTGCTCTGGGGGGCTGAATGAGAGTGTGCACCCTCCTGGGGGAGGAAGCGCTTGTCCCCCAGAGGAAAGGGGGCCTGATTAATCGGGGCGCTAATGAGCAGCAGGGAGAGGAAGCTCGGAGGGGCGGGGGAGGCGGCTCCATCGATCTGAGCTGAGGAACCAGCAGCAGAAAAAAAAGTGAGAAGGGAATCGATCTGAGGGAAACGGCAGCTGCTGGGGATTAGAGCCTGAGGTCCACCCGCTGCCCAGTGGCCACCCCTCCCCTGCACCAGGCCTGGCCCGCTGGTCGGGTCACAGCCCCAGCCTGGCCCAGGGGAGGAGCCCAGGGAAGGCCTTCTGGGGGCAGGGAGCCACTCTGTCCACCTGGGCTTGGAGGCCAGGTCAGGCCATCAGCCACGGATCACCTCAGCTCTGAGCCCACCCACACCCGCCCTGGCCACTCGTGGTGCTCTGGCGGGCTGTCCCCAGCCTTTTATCAAAGTAGCTTCCTCAGGGGGCCTGTGGCTGGGCTTCCCCACGGGCCAGCTCCCCGAGCTGGGAAGGTGAGACCCCTGGGGTCAGGGGCTGCACCCAGCGGCCCCCCAGAGGCACAGGGGGAGCAGTGAAGCAGTGAAGCAGCTGCTGAGTCAGCACTGGCTCCTGATGACCCCCTAGGCCCCCCTCCCTGCCCCCTGCCCAGGCAGCCCCCTCCTGCGCTCCCCCTGGTAGATCCCCAGATCCCCTCCCAGTGCTTCCTTCCCCCCCACTTAGCACCCCCCTACTTCTCCCCCCCCCCCCCAAGCCTCTCTCTTCCCCTTTCTCCTAGTATTGATTTTTCTTTACTGGGTTTTTTTTAAAAAGGTGATTTAATTGCTTTTTTAAGGTTACTTCAGTCTGGGTCTCTGCCAAGAGGCGGGGAGCTGCCCCCCAAGCTCTCCAGGGCACTCTTTACTGCCTTGGCCTCAGTGCTCGTCCCCCAACTGCCCTGCCATCCTTTGAGATCACGGGGTCATCCTCCCTGACATACTGGCCTGAGGAGCCCAAATCACACCCTCTGCCCCAGAGCACAGCAGGAAGCCTCCAACCCCTAAGAGCACTGAGGGGTGGTAATCCAGGGGGGCAGCAGGCTTGGGGGGAGGGCCGGGAGGGGCGGGAGGGGCGCGCCAGGCTGCTGGCAGTGGAGAGGCAGTTAGCTGCCGCACCACCACTGCCCAGGCCAGCTGTCTCCAATTGTCCCCAAGCCCCATCCTGCAGTGGCCAGACCCCCCAGGAGTCAGGCTCTGTTCAGTGGGGATACCCCACGTCTCCGCAGCCCATTTCTTGACCTTTCCGCCCCACCCCTGCAGCCTCTTTTGTCCCCTTCAGGCCTTCTATCCCCCCACCCCCTTCCCCTCTGGCCCCCATTCTTTCCCCCTCCCTCTTCCCGCTTCCCTGCCTGCCTCCCTCTCTGCCCGGCTGCAGTTGGGTGATAATCTCCCTCATTTAGCCTCCCGGCTGCTTCCCCGGCTCATTGCCCAGCTGGTCCCTGGGGCCCGGCCCAGCTTCTTCCCCACCCCCACCCTAGCCCTGCGCCCAAGCTCCCCCAGCCCCTTCCTGCTTTCCCCACCCATTCCCAGGGGCCAGCTGCCCCCTGTAGTGAGTCTCAGGTCCATTGTGGCTGGCCAGAACCTGAGCAGGGTGTGAGCAAAGAGGGTTGGGAGTGTGGGTGCCGGTGCAGGAGACTTGGGGGGGGGGGAGGTGAAGTCTTAGCCAACCATCCTTTGCACACCGGTTGTCCCTATTCACTACACTATCGCCAGTCCCATTCTCCTCCCCCTCAGCGGCCCCTCCCCACCCCAGGCACTGAACTAGGCTTCCCGACTGGTGAGACAGGATGGTAGCCAGGCTGAGATTGGACTGGTTCTCCCCACTGCAGAGGCCGGGCATGGAATGGGTGCCCAGGGGGAGGGAAGGCGGCAGCAGCTTCTGACTGACAGCACCTAGCAGGAGGTGTGGACGGGACGCTTTATTTGGGTAAAAGGTCCCCAAGGCAGTCCTCTCAACATCAAGCTTGGGGTTCCAAGGAAGCCTCTGAGGCCCCCGTTGCCCCTAGGTTCTGGAGTTTTGCTTCTCCCAGCGTAGGGGCATCCAAACTGGCAGCATCTGCCTGTTTCCATGCTTGGTGGGCCCGACTCCTAGCCCACTATGCCATTCAAAAATGACACGGCCCCCAAACTCTTCCCATTCTCCTAGAGATGTCCCCAGTCTCCCCTGTGCCCAGAGGACGTCTCCTGCCCACCTTCCCCGCCTTGACACCTACCCCAGGTCTGGCTCTGGTGTGGACCAAGGATGAGCCAGTGTGGGACCGACGTGGGCGGGAAGGGACAAGGGTGGGGGGGGCGGAGGCCGGGCCTGGGCCAGGCCTGGCTGGTGAGCGAGCAGCGGTGACAAACGGGCTGTGCGGGGGCCGAGGGGCGGGGGGCGGACGGCGGCTGATTTATCTGGGTTATTTATGCCGCGGACGAGGCAGGAGAAGCGGTTAATGAGAGTCCCAGTGAAGGGGGTGGGGAGGCCCAGACGTGATCTGCCGCGACTGAAGAGGGTTAGCGTCCCACCGCGGCCCTGCCCCCACTGCCCGACAGCACTCTGCACCCACCCTGCTCGGGCAAGCCTGGCTCGGTCGGACACCTCCCGAGAGTCCCTGGAACACCCTCCAGCCTCGCGAGGCATTCCCCAGGCAAGGCAGCAGACCTTCGGGACTGAGGGGGAGCCAGCCCCACGCTGAAGGGTGGCAGGAGCAGGGGGGGGGGGTGCGAGGAAAGGGAGGGCCAGGAAGACAAAATCCTGGTGGATAGAAACTGACCCAGTCTGTGGCGCCTGCAGGGGAGGGTTGGGTGGGAGTAGGCGGGCAGGCAGTCGACCATCCAGGAGCTGAGGCTGGAGAGGGGGCAAAGGGCGTTGGGGCTGCTGACCTGGTGTCAGCCAGGACCCAGCGTGGGGGACTGAGAGACGGAGACAGGCTGGGGGTGGGGGGGTGCTGGTCGGAGAGAAGAGAGCTGGGAAAGGCGGAATTGGGGGAAGATCCAGGGAAGGAGGGGGAGAGGGCTTTGCAACAGCTAAAGCTGCTGGGAGCAGATAAGGCGGCAGGGCAGCGGGAGGGATTAGAGCGCTGAGGGGCAGGGGCGGGGTTAGGGAGGAGGAGTGGAGGGCGAGATTCGGGACCAAGGAGATTGGGGGGATCAAACTAGGGGAGGTGGGGGGGCGTGGTTTAATCGGGCCACAAGGTGTTCCTGGGCTAGAGGGGACTCCAGGTCGGCCGGGAGGGTCCTTTTCTACACTCACAGAGCCCCCATACTCAGACTCTGCGAGGGGCAAGGCCAGCAGGGCTGAGTTGGGGGTAAACTGCGGGGGTGGGGGGCGATGATGGGGGCGGGCGTGGGGCGCGCGGAAGGGGCCAGCCCTGGGAGGTGCTGAGCACAGGGCTGGAAACTGAGGGCCACTGCACCGCCTGGGGGAAGTCGGTGGGACAGTGTCACTGAACAAGTCTAGGGTGCCCAGCCCGCCTGGGGTGGAGCCCCCAATGGGGGAGGAAGGGCTGAGGAGTCAGAGGGAGCTTCTTTGTGGGGAGGGGAATGGGCAGAAAGGCCAGGCGGTAGTTTCCCCAAGCCCAGGCCCCACACCAGACCCTCTGCCACTCCCTACCCCGCTCTCCAAGCTCCCCCCAGAGAGGTGTGCCCCCTTCCCACGGGAGAGCAAAAGCCTGGGGCGCTTCAGAGGTGGCCGAGGGGAGCGGGGTGGAAGGAGGGGGCTCGGGGAGGGGCGCGGGGGCGGCAGGCGGGGCAGAGTAATTGCATGTTTGTCAGTTCTCCTGTCTCTGCACGCAGGGAGCGGGCGCTGGTGGGTGTAGCTGTGCCACAGAAGTGTGTCTGTTGGCAGAGGTGTCAGTGTGTCTGTCTCCGGGGTCCGGGCTCTCCCTGTGCCCCGCCCCCTTTGTGTTTTGGGGAGCGTGGCTCTGGGCACACCCAGCTGTGCTCCGTGCTGATGCGGCAGATGT